GTCACTGAGACAAAATACCTGAAGCCCTTCTTACAGTTTTTGGAGGTTTCAATCCGTACTCAGTTGGCTCCAAGGCAGGCTGGCATGGCTGGGCCTCAGTTCATGGCGGCTGCAAACAGCAAGTGGGAACCAGCAAAGAGCAAGATACACCTTCTTCCTGCCAATACATCGCATCTTGGCTCCACCCCTATGTGGGTGGAGCACTGACACCATCAATCTAAGCACTATACAATGAATCATCACAAATGAACAATGCAAACTCATGAGGCCTGGAGGACACAGACATACACCATGACACTCCCAAGTCACTGAAACGAGTGGTTGGGTTGGGATGGATTGAGATGACCCAGATAAACATCAACTCACACTCAGACAAGGAGGTAGGCTATATCAGGGGAGCACAGGCCTCCATATTTTTTTTTCTTTCTCTCTCTTTTTTTTTTTTAATTTTAAGGAGAAAAAAAAAAGCAGAGAAAGGGTACAAGTTATACAGATTTACAGAAAAAAATAAACAGTAGGAAATCACTAGTTAATGGATTACATATTGCCATCTTAGAAATAATTGTTCAAGTCACAAAATTAAAGCTTGTAAAGTGGACATTCCAACAATGATACTGCAAACAGTTCTGTTCAATGATCCAATAAAACTCAGTGATATCATTTTCTATCTTATACACTTAAATACACATGCAGTTATATCATTTAGAGCACACAGGACTCCATCTTGGAGAACTGCTGGAATGGTAAGAGGGAAGGGAAGGGCTGGAACGAGTATGTGGCAATGAGAGAGAGGAAGGAAACGCCTTGGAAGAAAATCAGAATGTAGAAGTTATGGTCATTGTTATTTCTCCTCCTCCTCCTCCTCTTCCTCCTCTTCTTCCTCTTCCTCCTCCTCCTCTTCCTTCTCCTTCTCATTCATTTCTTTCTCCTTCTCCTCCTCCTCCTCCTCCTTCATCTCTTTCTCCTCCTCCTCCTCCTCCTTCAGCTCTTTCTCCTCCTCCTCCTCCTCCTTCAGCTCTTTCTCCTCCTCCTCTTTTTCCTCCTCCCGGGCCATTCCCATGCTTCATCACAGAAGCCTTCATCCAAGCTATACTTACATCTGTTCCTCAGTTTCCAAGTTCTGGGATTGCAGACATGGGTCCCCATGCCCAGTACAAATTCTTCATTTTTTACTGATATTCATAGTCTTCCTGGAGTTTGCTTACACCAAAGGCACCGCAATCCCTAGATAAAACGTCACTCCTGCTCCATGGTCACCAGCTGATTTAACACCATCAATGAGAGCTAATATAAGCTGCTCTGGGCCGGGCCTGGCGGCCAGAGAGCCTCTGCATTCCTCCGCAGCCCGTGCCCCTCCCTAAAGGTCTCCTCCTCTTCTTACTTTGTCTCCTTCTCTCTCATTTTCTCCACACTGCCTCAGATTGAGTGCCACAAAATATTCAATCAAATCCCCTTTGACTCTCAGTTCTGGCATTGTATGTTCTGGGGTAACTTAATTTCTCTGTGCTTCCTTTAACATTTACCTCAGAGCTGTCATCAGGCAGATTAAAATGATCACAATGCCCATAACGTGTCTAATACATGGCAATCCACTGGGACCCCACCTGTCTCTCAGGAGCAATTCCTATTCCCTACTCTTAAAAAAATGACTAGTATAATATTCAAGACATAGAAAGGTTGAAGCAGTCATTCACTAACTTAATCATTATTATTCCTACAAATGTTTCCATTAGGGACCTGAATTTTTGAAGGCTAGAACCCATTAGACTTTCTAATCTAATGTTTTTCATTGGAAAGGCTGCTCCCAGCCCATGCAGACTCCACAGGAATTCTCTGGGCTGACTGTGATGGCTAAAGATGGGGGATTGAGGCCCTTCTGTTAGCACTGCTGGGCTCTGGGCAAGCCTTAAGGACCCAGAGGCCAGGTGAGGATGCACACAGAGTGGGTCCCTTGAGCAGGGCTGGGAATGTAAGCAGCCCCTGCATCCTGATCCCATATTCCTGGGGCACCCCAACCCCAGCTGCCTGCTATTCTCTTCCTGGGTGCTGCCCAGGAGAGCTTGCTACGGTGTCTCAGCACGGATGGGCTTTTGGCAAGATCTCCCACAGTGGAGGTGTCACGCAGGGTGGGTGTTCAAGGATCCTAGACCCTGCCTGCCTTGCTGTTGGGCTGGGTCCCTGCTCCCTTGACAAGTTCATCCTCAAAGAAGCTCAAGCTGTCCTGGGACTCCTGCCTACTGATCCTGGCTGCCTCTGCTGCAGCAAGTCTCCAAGTGCATCTAACAGTTACAATGAAGGTCATTTATCACCTAAGGACAATGACACAGCCTTCTGGAGAACATGCCACTGGGCAATTTCATTGTTGTGTGAACAGAATAGAGTGTGTTTAACAAACCTAGGAAGTATAATCAGTTCCTCCACGTGGTCTCTTCACGCAATCAAGAAATGTGGTGAACGGACATGAGGCTGGCATAACCCTGTGAAGCACACGACTTCACAGGGAACGCTTTAAAAACTTTATTAATATATTTAATTTCCTGCCGTGCTGGGGATCAAACCAGGGTCTTGAGCATGCTAGACAAGTGTTCTACCCCTGAGTGCGATTCTTAAAATTTTGTGTGAATAGAAGGTGTACACTATAAAATGACACAATGTATGGAACAGTACTGTAGTCCCAAATACTGAATATTGTAATCCAAGTATTGTAATCTCTTTCATTGTCTTCCTCACAACCCAAAAGATTATATTTATAATCCCATTGAGACATTATTGGAATCCCAGCAAGTTAATTCCAATCTACTATCTCCAGTGCAACCCACGGCGAGAGTAAAGACACATTCCAAGTTAAGGGCAGCCAAGGGGTCCTAAGTCCAACCCCCTGGGGATACATGGACAAAGGCCCTGATCCTAGGCCTCTCCCAGACTTTATTACCCTGTGAAGAAGGTGGTGGCTCGAAGATGAGTGACAGTGAGGATGGAGGGAATTATGTGAGTGACTTGAGCTGGCTGGCCAGGTGGGGAGAAACGCATCTCTGCAAAATGCAGGGAGACTGACATGCAGAAGGGCCAATCTGCATAATACAACTAAGATAACGTCTGAATGGTTTTAGGAGGCTGTTGCTTCCAGTTCTAGTATATACACTTTTGTGCCATGGGGAGTCACAGCCTCTTGTTTTGAGCCTCGTGCTCAGGTTACATTCCTGGAGCTGACTGGCTCTGTCATCCCGATGTGCTCATCCTTTACAGAGCACTATGCAAGAAATGGGAGACTGTGTGATAGCTTTAGAGATTACACACCCGTACCTCGGCTGGCTTAACCTGCAATGCTTGGAGCCAACTGAAGAGAGAAGGAGATACCACAGTCAACTCTGTGCATTATCAGTCTATGGAAATAGGCCTGGAGTTAACCAGTGTTGCAGCAAACATTCTGCATTCAAGGGGGGTCCCCTAAACTGTGTCCTACAGGACAGTAAATTCAAAAACCATTTATTATCATTATTACTTATGCACTGTGCACAATTGTATGTGCTCAGCTTTCATAGCCCTGCAGCACAGTAAGTTTTACACCAGCATCACTATGAACATGTGTGTTGTGCTGTGACACTACAAAGTCTGTAACTTTACCGGGCAACCGGAATTCTAGCTTCTACAGAAAGTTTAAGAAGTCTTAAGCGAGGTACATTGTTGATCCAAAAGTCCTTATGCAGTCAAGACTGTATTCATGAATTTTTCAATTTTCACTGAGCTGTTTATACCCTGCTTTGTCGTACTTTTTGAGTGTATGTGTGGTTCGGGGTAAATCCTTCTTATATATCCAGGCACGTGCTCTGCCACTGAGCTGCATGTCCTCTCATTTTTATTTATCTAACTAACCACACCCAATTTCTCCCCATCAAAAGAAGAAATGTAAGGAGGCCAACGTGCAAATGTTCTAATGTCACTTAATTCAATGATACATTATAATTTGGGGCGGTATTGCCTTTCAAAGAGCTTGGTTTCTTTGAGTCTCCAAGACTCAAGGACTTGAGGTCAACCGTTCTAATTGTTTATAACTGCCTAGGGTGGCAGATGCCTCCTCAGGAAAAGCCACACACCCTTATGAAGTCAATTTTGCACATAATTGGTAGGGGAGCTAGCATCCTAAAGTCCCTGCCCGCCCCCCAACCCCGTATAGTTGAAAAAAAAAAAGGAAACTGAAAAACCAGGAAGGCTAACTTGACTCAAACTGTCAGTGAACTACACGGTCAGAATTTGAACTCAGATCTGCTGTCCTAGCAGCCGTTCCAGGAGAGACACACGCAGGGCCATAGTGTCTGGATTCCAAGTCTGATTATGATGTCTATTAGTTGAGTGACTTGTGCAAGTTACACAGTCAATCAGTGCCTCAGTTTCACCAGTTGAGGTGGGATAAGAAGAGTTAACAGGACTTCTCCCGTTGCCAGTAACCTTGGCATTATTTTAGTGTTTACTGTAACCACTTTACAATCAAGAAGGATGAACTCAGGAAAACAGGCATTTGTGCCTGTCCACTGAACTCCAGTGTGATACGTGACTCCACCCTCAGAAGTGACCCAAAGCCTGTGGATTGGGCATCCAAAGTTTCTCCACAGACCCTGTTTTCAAAGTCACCAGAGCAGGGTGGAACAGATCAAAGAGCTGCTTCTTAGGGGTTGGGGATTTAGCTCAGCGGCATAAGCGCCTGCCTTGTAAGCAGGCAGTCGTGAGTTCGATCCCCGGTACCAATAAAAAGGAAAAAGACAAAAAAAAAAAAAAAAAAGCTGCTTCTTCACGGAGCATCCCTCAATTCAACACAACAAGCGTCCTCTTTCCGGCAGAGGAAGGACCACAACCGTCAGCAGGAAAAAGAATGCAGAGAGAAAGGCTGGAAATTCTTGGAACAGGCCTGTTGCCCAGGGGAGGGAGGCCTGGCGTTCCCAGCCTCCCCGGAGGAGGCAGAAACAGCATTTCACAGCAGCACAGGAAGGCTGAGGGATGCGGGGTCTGTACCTCTGCCTTCCCAGGAGTGTCCGGGCCCAGCAGCCTCACAGTGCAGCGTCCAAGGCTAGGCACTAGAGAGTCCCCTCCCTCCCTGCGGCCGTGGGCGGGGTTAGGAGACTTTCAGTTTTGTTTTCCTGTGGGCTAGAAACTCACCAGGAAGCCTCTTGGAGTGAACATGGAGGAGGAATTCCTGGTGTGTAGGAATTGGTAAGAAGCCACTCTGTCCAGCAGCGGGCTTTAGGCTCACTATCCAGATGGATGGGAGACGGGAGAAGGCTGCTTCTGCCTGGAGACTGTTTTCCTGTCTGTCCCGCAGATAAAACACCCAGGAGGGCAGGGGGAGGCGTGAGGAGGGGCGGGGAAGGCAGCAGATCTCCAAATAGGCTGGTCAGGGCTGTGCAGCCTCACTGCATCCCCTGGCTCAGCTGTTTCAGGCTTGCGGGTCCGCCCCGAGTTTGAATAGCCAGGTTAATTGCTTGTAAGGGCTTCTTCTACCTGGCTTGAGGTTCTGATAATACGGTTTTCACACCAGTCTATGAAAGAAAGTGGTCCAGGGAGGGTCTTTTGGCCCATCTCACTGTCACCTGCAGAGGGGCTGGGCAGACACGCGTAGGGGGCAAGACCACAGCTCTAAGTGGGGGCTCTGGGCAGAGCCTCACTGTCAGAGCTCCTTGCCTGTGGCAGGAACCCCCAGAGAGCTTTGCTCCCTCTAGGCCTTTTGAGATTCCTGCTCTCTGAGGGAGCTCAGGAGAAAGATGAGGGGAGAGGCCAGGCAGCACAGAGTGGACAGAACATAGGCGGAGAGGTGAAGGTGCCCACGTGCATCCAGTTGGGCAACACACTCCGATCAACAGCTGTGACGTCCACTGTGCCAGGGACGTGGGCACATACTCCTTGACATCTGAGGCTATAGAGGATACAGCCTCTTGAGTTCCCTTTCACCCAGGCTGCCACCAGCAAGAGTTGGTGGAAGTGAAAGGTGGCATTTCTTGGTGATGGGAACTGTGAGAGAAATGCCCTCTCTGGGAAGTGGGAGACGGATGCCGTCGATCCTTAGGGCCTTCTTGAAGGGCCTCAGGCCCTCTCCAGTAGTTACCATAGGTGCGCCTGGGGCAGGGGATGGCAGATGGCCTCTCAGTCCCTTGCTTTGGAGGTTCTGAATGCTTCTGCCCTTGGAGGAAACCAGGTGTAGCCAGGTCATGCTGCTAACTAGCTGCTTGGGCCCAGCAGGGGCACCAGAAAACAAGAAAAAAGATTTGGATGTTTTACTTCATTTTTATCACAGCTTTACCGAAGTATCATTGAAGTGAACTACAGGTCTTTAAAGTACTTTTGATACTTTTGACGCACATTACACACTTGTTGAAATCATCCCCTGAGCCAGGAAAGGAAGCTTTCATCACCCCAGCATCTCCCACCCAGCATCTCCCAGGGCCGCCTGAAATCCCATCCTCCTACTTGCCATCCTGATGGCCTCTGAAGAGCGAGCCCTGGGTGTGAGGTCCCTGTTTTATGTGCTGTCCTCCCTCTTATAGCATGAAAAATGTGCCCTCCTCCCATTTCATCCTCCACGAGGCCCACTGCCTGCGGTTCCTGGCCCCTCAGCGGAAGGAGCCTGTCCTGGGAGCAAAGACACAGGAGCACTGTGAGCAGAGGGACTCACAGGTGAGCCAGTGGCAGGGGACACGGGACCTGAGGACCAGGGGTTTTCCTGTCCTGCGGCAGCTTGGGACTCACATGGTCCCCTGGGGGCAAATCATTGGATCTCCCCTACTTCAAACCTAGTTAAGAAAAGAAAATGCTAAGCCTGTTTTTCTCATGCTAAAGGAACTCTCCTCCTTTTTCCAACCTTTTCTCTTTTTCTTTCTTACTGTCTTTCTTTCTATTGATTGATTGATTGATGGGGGAGGGATTCATATAGGGCCTTACTGTGTAGCGCAGACTGACCTTGAAGCCTTGATCCTATTGCTGCAGCCTGCTGGGTGCTGGGAAAGCAAGTACATGCCACTGTGCCCAGCATTCAGTCTTTTCCTTGCAGATTTATGAGTTGAATAAGGCAAGGGGTTCCTGTTTCAGGAAAGGTCAGCTGTTCCAAGCTTCATGAAGAGGAGAAAGAGGAAAGGCGGCCCCAGAAGGCAGGCCACCCGGCTGATTTTCCTTTCTGGCTTTTTCACGTCTGTCCCTCCTGGCCGCTCACCTATCTTTCTAGAAATCCTCAGGCTATACATCTGTTTCAGTTCAAAGTGGTCCGGCAAAGACTTCTTGTAGCATTGGGCTGGGTGCTGGAGGGAAACTGAGGTAGCCACATCTGATCCCTACCCTTGGGAGCTCACAGATCCCACCCTGGAGCACCCAAAGTGGCTAAGGGGAAAGGCCAGGGCAGTGGCCTGGAGCCCGTGTCTCTGTCTCTCTTTCTCTGTGTTTAGGTTAAGTGTGTGATGTGCCACCAGAGTGTACAGAAATCCTTGCTGAAACTGCATGAGGTGAGAGGCAGGTGTGATCCTGGGAGAAAGAGAGGGAGAAGGGAGGAGAGGCCACTCTGCTCTTATCTCCCCTGGCTTACAGCACGGCAGAACCAGCCACCTCAACCACGCAGCTCCTCCTGCATCTGGACACCAGACAGAAGGGCTTTCTGTGGTTCATGGGTCCAGCAGAGCTTGCATCTCTGGCCCTTCCTGTAATTGATTTCAGTTCCTGGGGATGGGCTCAGTTGCCTCATTTGTCCTCAGTCTCAGCGGCCAATGATCACACCCTCTCTGACACCTCGCAGGCCAAGGAGTGCCAGGAGCGCCCTGTGAAGTGCAGGTTCTGTGAGCTGACCATGCATGTTAGTACGCTGGAGACCCATGAGGCCCACTGTGGCTTCCGGACCGAGCGCTGCCCACACTGTGACCAGCTGATCTTGCTCTGGGTGCTGGACCAGCACAGAGATGTTTGTCAACTTAAACAGGCTCTGTCCAGGGAAGGTGAGCAGCTAGGAAAAGGGAAGCTCTGAGGTCCAGAGCCCCTCTCGGGTGGGATGCAAAGACCAAACACTGCCAAGGCCACAGAGGAGAAGGGTGCCCACTGCACGTGTTTCAGTTAAACTGGCTCCCTAGTGCTACAGCGTGCATGAGAGAGTGGCCTGCTTGTGCGTCTGCTGTGGTCTTTACATGAAGGAGGGCAGTCTGGAAACTCCGCAGCCAAGAGAGGAATCAATCGTGAGCCCTGAAAGCAGAGGCTTTCTTTAAACTCCGCCAGCACAAACCTAGCTTGGTGAGAGCCACCTGAATCCTTCTGTAGATGGTAACCCTTTAGCCAGGCTTTGTGGCACACGCCTGTGTGGGAGGCAGAGGCTGATAGATTGCCACGAGTTGAAGGCCAACCTAGGGTGCAGAGGGAAAGTCGTCTCAAAGAACAAAATGTAGCTGGGAAACCTACACAGAGAATGAAGCAAGGGCTTTCCAAAAGTGAAAATCATACTGGACACTGAAGTTTCCCAGCACAAAATCTACACCTTTGTCCACCATCAGTGACAGCCAGACAGGAGCCCGCTGTAGCCCCTCCTGACCTTCGAGCCTGTGTGCTGGCCCCTGATACACTTCCTGTCCTCATCTAGTTACTTCTCACCCATGGTGTGTTTAGAGAACACAGCCGTGAAGACGCAAGAGCTTTTGTTACTTTACTGGTTGTTGTGGTATCACAGTAACATGTGAAGAGAGCCTAAGCCCTTAGACCATAAATATCTCCTAGTAAACAATCTGCCATAGGTCAAAATTGGCCCATGAAAACCTGGAAAGTATGAAATTCGTATCTATTTCTTTCATTCAAATGTGCTGAGATTTCATACAACCAACAGAGTCAACAACGCAACTTCAGTGCAACATGGCTCCAACATGACCTTGGTGCAGCCTCACCCACAACCTCAGGTTCAGCTGACCTGTTTGAGTCACAGAGCTTGGAAACTGGTACAGAGAGAGTAGCTTGACAAAGGCTTGTGATTGCCTTTGTCCCTTAAAAATCAGCTCTGCTCTCTGAAGATATGCCTTCATTAGCACCGCATGCTACCCTAGGGCGCACAGTGGATGCAAAGGGAACAGTGTATTCGTTTGACTGATTTTATGAGACAGGGTCTCACGATGTGACGCAGTCTGCCCCTGAACCCACCGTGTGGTCCAGGCTAGGCTCCAGCTCACACAGTCCTCCTGCCTCAGCCTCTGGAGTGCTGGGATTACAGGTGTGTGTCCCCACAGCCATTGTCAAGGGTGGTCATTGTGGTGTTGTTTCTGTGCTTATCTAGGGGAAAGGACTTCAGTTCCTTCAAGGAAAATCTGTAAATATTGTGATAAAATAATTTCAGGAAGTCTGCAGAGCCACTACATGGTGAGTACAGTCATTTCCTAGTGGTGCCGGCGTCCAGCTCAGGGGCTGAAAGTGTGATTCGAGCCCAGTTTTACAGAGCACAGATTTTGATTGCATTTCTTTTGCTCGGTAGTACATATTTGCTGCACACAGCTTCTATTTTCACTGTGGGGAGTTGGCACGTGTACAAACCCACTTTAAATCTTTAACTTCCCCTTGGCCTCCTCTCTTCTCCCCTCACCTCATCACTAGTTTCTCTTCCCATTTGCAAAAGAGTTCTCTTTCTATTTTGTATCTCTCTCTCTCTCTTTTTTTCCTTTTTATCGGTACCAGAGATTGAACTCACGACTGCCTGCTTACAAGGCAGGCGCTTATGCCGCTGAGCTAAATCCCCAGCCCCTATCTCTCTATTTTGTATTATCTATCTTTTATTTTTCTCTTTAGATTATTTCTTTCTTATTTATATAAGAAAAAACATGATATTTCTGCATGATTTATTTTGCTTAATGTTTTGGTCTCAAGGTGCATCCATTTTTATACAAATGATCCAAATGTATCCTTCTTTATGGCTAAATAGTACTCCATTTTATCTATGTACCACATTTCCTATATAGGCTGCATATGGGCCACTTCCAAGGTTTAACAGTTATGAGTTGAACTGCTGTACACATGGCTATGCATGTATCACTATAGTATGATGCTTTGGGAAATATACCAAGAGATGAACAGCTGGGTGGGATGGATTTCTATTTTTAAGTTTTTGAGGAATCACAGACTGACTTCCATAATGAATGTGCCAGTTTACATTCCCACTGGCAGTGTAGAAGGGTTCCCTCCACCCCGCAACAGTCTCATCAGCATTTATTTTGATTTCTTGGTGATGGCCATACTTTCTGGAGTAAGACAAAATCTTAGCAGTGTTTTAATTTGCATTTCTCTCTCTTTTTTTCCCTTTCCTTTCTTCCCCCCTCTGTGCTCCTTGTTCCCCTCCCCAGTGGGACATGTTCTTCCTACTTCCCAACATCTATGCTCCTTGTGCTCTGTATTCACCTTTTGGGTTCTTTGCACATGTGCACACACACACAGACACACATAGAGACAGAAAAACAGTGCACTATTTAAACATGTGTCCAATTTATCTCCCCTAAGATTGTGGTCTCTAAATGCATCCCATTTTCCACAGATGATTCAACTTTACCCTTCTTTATGGCAGAGTAGTATTCCATTATAAATAAATGCCACGTTTTCTTTGTACCTTCACCTTTTGATGGTCCTATTGCTGCTATCAACATGGGTATGAATATCTCACTGTGATACGATGCTTTTAATTTTTCCTGGATGATACCTAGAAAGAGAACGGCTGAGTTAAGTGGAACCTCTAGTTTCCTGAGGAATCTCTGTACTGATTTCCACAGTGCTGAAACCAGTTTACACAGTCTGCAGCAATGGAGTAGCGTGCCTTTTCCCCCACAGCCTCAGTGGCGTATGTTATTGGTTGATTCTTGATGACAGCCGGTCTTTCTGGAGTGCGATGGAATCTCAGTATTTTTTAAATTTGCATCTCAAATGACTAATGAGCTGGAGGATTTTTTCGTATATTTATGTACTACTTATACTTCTTTATCTGAGGAGTCTATTCATCTCAGATGCCCTTTCTTTTGTTTATTTGTTTGTTTTTTATTTTGTCTTTTTCATTTTTATCAGTACTGGGGATCGAACTCACGACCGCCTGCTTGCAAGGCAGGCACTTATGCCGCTGAACTAAATCCCCAGCCCCTAGATGCCTGTTTTGATTAGGTCTTTAAATTTAGGGGACCTGATTGTGTGTGTGTGTGTGTGTGTTCTTTACCTATGCTAGATGTTCTTTGAGAAGTAGTTGGCAAAATATTTTCCCATTCTGTGAGTTGTCTTTTCACCCTGTTGGTGCTTTCTTTCGTTATGCAAAAGCTTTTTCATTTGATGTGATCCAAGTTGTTGATTCTTTGTAACATTTCCTGTGCAATTAGGGTTTTATTCATGAAGTCTTCGTCTATTCCTATATCTTCCAAAGTTTTATCTATTCTATCTTCCAGCAGATTAAGTGTTTGTTTTATATTTAGATCTTTGATACATTTCACTTTTAGTTTAGTATCTGGTGAGAGATACGGATCTAGCTTCAACACTTGGCACATGGAAAGCCACTTTTTCCAGTACTACTTATTAAAGAGGCTGTCTGTCTTCCAGTGAAGGTTTTTGGCCCCTTTATCAAAGATAAGATAGCTAAGTGGGCTTGGAGTTGCTTCTGCATCTTCTGTTCTGGTCCATTGATCTTTGGGTCTGTTTTTGGGTTTTCCCCCAGATCCATGCTGTTTTTATTACAGTAGCTTGGTGGTATAACTTAAATCAGGGATTGTGTCGCTGCCTGCCCAGCTGTCACCCTGTTTCCCTGTGTAACAGGACAGTTAAACCATTATCTAAAGACCACGGCCTCGGTCCCTTCTTACCCCCCCCCTTTTTTTGGACAGAGTCTTGCTGTGCATCTCAGACTGGCCGTGAAGTCACTCTTTTCCTAGGCTGGTCTCAAACTCGCAGTGCTTTTCCTGGCTCAGTCTTCTGAGGGCTGGCATTACAGGCATCTGCCGTCTCACCCAGCTCTTCTCTTCTCACACTCGTTCCATTCTAGCTTTTGTACCCAGCGCCATCCCCAGCTTTATTGAAAATGTTGTGGTCAGAATCCAGGGTGAGCTCTGGACGCCTCAAGGCAGCACTCAGGTCTAACCTGTCATTTCGTGGAGCATTTAACATCACTCGTCTTCCTGGATTTACTTTCTGGCTTCCAGAGAACTACACTATTCTGGTCGTCAGTTACTTCAGTGGTCTGTCCTTCTCCAGACCCTCAACCTTGTTAATTTGTCAAGAACAGGGCAGACTTAGTCTGCTGTCTTTTGTTTTAATAGTGAATAAAAATGAGGCCAGATGGACTGAGTTTAGATGATCCCAGCTTTGTCGGCAGCACTCAAGTATCATAAGCAGGAGCAGCTGAACCCACACATCTCTTCCCTCCAGGCTGGACCCGGACAGCCCTTGGCCATCAGTGTCACAGGCCTCCTTGCAGCCTGTTGGGACGCTGCCTGTTGGCCCTGACATCCACAGTGACCACAAATGTGTTGTCCTCTGTCTCCCTCATGGTCGGCCCATGGATGGGGGCACCAGAGTGGTCCAGTTTGTCGCTCATGGGAGTGATTTTTCGAGGGTATTTGGGTCCTTCCAGAGCTACCGTGGCTTGGGTAGCCTTGGAAGGAGCGGGGGCTTCTTCTGTACTAAGAGCCATCTTGGTCCCTGGTCCCCGCTTTCCTCCGCCTATGCTCTCTCCCTAGTCATTTCGCCCAGACTCCAAATTTTAAGTGTCGTGTACGAGCAGACACTCCACTTCTGTCTCAGTCTGGGCATTTTAACCCCGAACCGCAGACTCAAATTTCACCACCTACTTGGCATCTTCCATGAGCTCTGGACAGACATCTCAGTTGTGACCTGTCTGAAATCACCCATCTGCCTTTGCCCATCTCGGGTGACGGCAACGCTGACCTTCCAGGCTTTGGGGCCGCAAATTCAGGTGCATCTTTGACTCCTCTCCTGGCCCCAGGAAGTGCTAGAGTCCTGCTGTGAACCAGCAGTATCTCTAGTCTGGATGCCCTGGTGCCTCTCACTGAGCTCTGTACTTCTCCCACTGCCATCTGCTCCCATCACCGTGGCCAGCACGGTCCTTCAAAAACACCACTCAGCTGTTTACTCCCCTGTTAGGATCTGTGCTGACTCCTGCTCCGCTTCACACAATGAGAATCCCTACGATGGCTTTGAGCTTGGAGGCCTCTGCCTCCTTCCCTCCTCACTGCCTCCAATCTCACCTCCCTCCCCTGTCCAGCCTGGCCAGCTCACTAGACTAGACTCCTTGTGCTTACCCTCTCTCTCTCTTTCTCTCTTCTTTTAAAGACAGGGCCTTGCTGTATAGCCCAGGCTGGCCTTGAACTCACAGCAATCCTGCCTTAGCGTCCTGAGTGCTAGGACTATAGGTGTGCACCACCACACCTGGTCTTTTCAGGATGTCTTGAGCACACCGTACCTGAGGGCATTTTCACTAAGGCCTCTCCCTCTGCCTAAAAGCTGCCCCATCATCCCATCCTCTACCATATTCCTTTTTTTGTTCTGGTTGCTTTTGCTGGTTGTGCCTTGAATTGTTGCCCCTGTGCCATGCCCTATGCCTGCCTTGCAGCTGATTATGGACTGAAACCTCCACAAACTGTGAGCTAAATAAACCATTCTTTCCCTAATTTTTGGCATCAGGTGTTTTGTCTCAGCAACGAGAGAAAAGTAACCTAGACAGTACTCATCCCTCAGAAACAATAATAATCAGGTTTTCCACTTGTGCTTCTTTATTTCTCTCTTTTCTTTTCTTGCCTTCCAGAAATATTTTAAAGCAAAGCCAAGATATCCTATGACTTCCTGCATCATTCTTTAGGACTTTATGTTTAAAATGTGCTGTTTTTCTTAACTACAGTGCCTCTATCCCTCTCAGTGGTATTGGCTAAGTTCTTTTCTGTCATATTCTGGGAGCTGCCCTTTACCATGTGTGCTCACTAGGTCCCAGCTGGCTGCCTCTTACTCCCTCGCCTTCTATGGAACTGAGTGAGTTTCCTGCTTTCTTTTCTTATTGATTTGATAAGTTTACATTCTACTTGTTATTTTAGTAGTTTTGAATGACATTTTAATATGACAGTTTGACTTAGTAAGGTCTAAAATGATCATTACCTTTATCCTTCTTACAAGCTTATATGGTTTTGAAAACACTAACTCTGATTCTCTCATCCCACTGTATATGAAATGTTGCCATAATTTTTTCCTGTTTTTTCACCACCCCTCTTTAATCAATATTGTTATTCTTTGTTACGCAGGTCATACCTGTTTGTACATACTCACGAGTTTACCCTTTGCTTGCTCACATTCTTTCTTGGCTCCCAACTTGCTTTCTTGCAGAACTACATCTTTTAGTTCTTTGAGTATGAACTTGTAAGTAGTAAAGAGATGCAGGGTAGTGTGAAGACCCCGGGCTCAGTCCCTAGTACTCTGCCCCAAAAAGTCTCTATTCCCATGAATAAGGAAAGAGCCCTGATGCCTTCTTGAAGCCTCCACCTTTTAACCCAGTCACACTGGCACACCAAGAATTTGAGCAAAACACTAACATTCAAACTATAACATCAGTCAGGGATTAATCCCTGAACTCAAAAGTCTCTTGCCATCAGCTCTGATCTTGAATGTCTGTTATAGTCTGTTCATCATTTCTGAGTATTTATAGTGAGAAGTTTTCAGGTTATCTAGTCAAGTGACCTCCCAGTGATTAAACTGAAGTCTTTTTGTTTGCATTTGATGTATCCCAATTGCAGGAGGACTGTTCGGCAGCCTCAGAGCCTCTGAAAAAGCTGCTCATATCTTTTCCAAGTCGTCCTGGTGGAAATCAAACTCCCACAGAAGAGAAAGCTGTCCGTCCAAAGACAAAAGATATAAACAGATCTCCTCTCCTTTTTGAAAGTTCAACAAATCAAGCACCAAGAGACACAGACAGACCCATGAATCTGCCTTCAGAATCTGAGCTTGGCTCCGGGGCTGCCTCTCCTGCAGAGAACGAGCCGCCCTATGACATCCTGAAGAGATGTTTGCAATGCGGGATCCTGCTTCCCCTGCCCATTCTGAACCAACATGAGGTACCCAGCCCCTGTTCCCTCACCCCCTGACTGTTAACCCGTGGCAGTGTCTTAGAGGATCAGATACCTGCAGGAGAGTAGCCCATGTTCCTTCCCTATCTCCCTGTTCCCAGTTTGTCCAACGCACTCTCTCAGAGAACCCAGTGCCTGCTTTTCTGTGTGTCACCTTGCAAGACTGGGTCGCCTTTGACGGTAGAGCCAGATCTTTCATTTCTGAGTGTCTAGCTCCCTTCCTAAGGGCTGACATACGGCAAGTGCTCCAAAACTATGGAGTAAGTGAATCAAGCTGAAGGCCAGTCCATCTCCCTTAAGGTGTGATAAGGCAACAGAGGCCCAGAAAGCAGAAAAGTCTTGCTCCCAATCCCAAGTCAGCACGTAGCCATCTTCCCTCCAGCAGATCAAGGACACAGCCATATTCCTCAGTGTCCTGGGTTTTTCCATCCTCCGTTACTTTCTTCTAATAATAAGAACTGGCCTTCGAGGTAGTTAACCATGTGCCAGTTACAATGCAGAGCTCCTGATAAATGTTTAATCTTCATTATAAACAATAGATAGGTGTTTAATCCTCACTGTATATATGAGAAAACTGAACAAAAAAAAAAGGTCTATCGAGTGCCTTCCCCAGGATGGTACACTGAGAGTGGGAGAATCCAGTGTCCTCCAAAGATTTTGTTCTTAAACTCTGTTCTAGATGCCTTGTTTGATTTTTTTTTAAATACTAAAGTATTAGATTGTGTTGTTTTCTTTTTTTTTTTTTTTTTTTTTGGTATTTTTACTGGTACCAGGGATGGAACTCACGACCACAGGCTTGCAAGGCAGGCACTTATGCCGTTGAGCTAAATCCCCAGCCCCTAGATTGTGTTGTAAATAATAGACAACAAATGTTGTAGCTTGAAGAATAAAAGCAGAGCTGGTTATTCCCCACACCTACCCCACCTCTCCAGTGCCACCGAGACACCAATTTCACAGCCTTGTGAGGAACTTCCGAAACTGTATTTTCACTGACGTGAACTAACAATTGCTTGAATTGCTGCTCTTCCCCTACATATTATCTTAATGTGCTCATTGCTCTATCAAATTTGCCTTCTTCATTTAGTATATCGTAGACCTGGTGTAAGGTAGGCCAAAGTATTTTCTAAATTTCTGCATATATATATATATATATATATATATGCACACAAGCATATAATCTTACAAAAATGGACTGATTTTGTCTTATGAGGCCATTGTTGCTTATCTCCCACCACTAGCATGTTTCTTTTTGCAATTTTTTCTCATCTTTATATAATAAGGTGTCAGATTTAGGGAATGAAAATACTAGTTACCCGGACAAGTTTGAGTTTTGGAAAAACAAGAGAATTCATTAGTATTAGTGTTAGGATTAGGATTAGGCAGTGCTGTGGAATTAGACCAGGGGCCAGGAGGTTGGGAAGATGCTTTGCTACTAGGCGACATCCTCAGCATTTTAATTTTTTACTGTGAGACAGAGTCTCAGTTACGTTTCCCAGGCTGCCCTGGAACTTGCAGACCTTCTGCCTCAGCTTCCCAAAGAGCTGAAATTACAGGCAGCCACCACCACGCCTGACAGTTTTTTAGAAGTATAATTATGTCCATGCAATGATTCTTTCTCCACAATTGAAATTGAAAGGAGCACCTTGTGTTTTATTTGGCAGCCTTATTATGAAACACGCAGGCACGTGCATTTGGAGTCCCAGTGGACACACTTCTTTATGTCATAATGTTTTCATTTAGCCATAGCCAGGTACACAGTGTGGCTCATTTTCTCCTGTTCTCCCACTCGGCTTGATGTGGGCTGAAGTTAAACACCTCCAAAGCCTTCTTTCCGCCCCTCTCTGGGATGGAGGGATTCTATGCTGCTTCTGTGCCATCCACTGGAGTCTCTAGGCACCTGTAGCTTAGGGCTCTTGTCTGAGAGCAGAAACAGGAATATTTCAGAAGCCAGCACTTCCCTCTCAAACATACTGAAATTTTTATATCCCTTTCTTTAGGTAAAATGCAGACAATTAGCTTTTTCAAGGGAAAGCAGGTGAGCAGATCCAGCTAGATTTGGAAGGAAGAACTATGAATTTAGAAGACTTCCTGCTTGCACTGGCTTTCCTGCGCCCTGTTGGTGATGGCTGCTACTTGTGAAAAGATGGATTTCATCCCTTCCTATTTAGAGGACAAAGCTTGCACTTTAACCATGTGCCTTCTTTTGAACAGACATTGGTTTCCCTACGGGCTCCAGGTAACCAGGAGAGAAAGAGATTCCAGGTCTCTCTGGCAGAGCATTCTGATTAAATGTCTAGAATCAGTAGCTGGGGTGCCTAGGGGACCCCCACTTTGTCCCTGAAAAATAAAAAACGCCTTCCTTGAAAGCTTCTTGGTCACCTTCTTGGGTTCCTCATGGGTTTCCCAGAAGAGGGTCGGCAGGAAGACAGGCCTGCAGCAGAAAACAAAGCAGAAGGGCCAGAGAGAGAATGAGGGTGTCCACAAGGGCAGCATGGAAGGCTCCGAAGGGAGCTGGCTGGGGAGCCTGAGCCTGCTGGCTACCTGCACGCGGACCGGGCTTTTTCCCGTCTGCGCAGGCCTTGGGGAGAAGGCTTAGCACCCCAGCTCCTCCCAGGGCAGGGAAGGGTCCGAGGCTGGGGGTAAACTGGGCACGCCCTGCCCTCCCAAAAGAGAGAGGGAAAGCTTTCCTCAAGCTAGGTTAAGCTCCTGTCGGGTTTGCTCAAGGCTCCCCTGGTGCTTTGCCTAAGGAGAGAAGCGGAGAGCTGAGGGAGAGTGCTGGGCGGGCAGTGACCTCCTAGAGGCCTCCGAGGCACCGCTGGACCAGACGAGTCAGAAACTTCCTCCTGGCCTGCAGAGGGGTCGCCCCGCGCGCGCCCCAGGATGCTCCGCCAAGGCCCTGGCTACCCGGGACTGGGCTGCTGGGACCTGGGGCTGAACCGAGCCCAGAGGACGGCGGGGCGTCACAAAGACGGCGCGGTGTTGAGCCCCTGGCTGAGCCGCCAAGCCAGGGTAGGGCGCGGCCCCCGCCCCGGGTGCTTGCAGTCGGCTTCGGCGCTCGCCTGCCTGCAGCCCAGACGGGGCGCAGCCCAAGCGAGCAAGCGAGCGAGGAGAGCCAGAAACAGGTGAGCCAGGCCTGGGCGGCGGTGGGACACCAGGAGACCACCTCCTCCTGGAAGCCACTCGGCTACTGGTTCCCTGGCCACCTCCGCACTGCTTGGGTGCTGGGTTTTCTTCCCTAGTTGGCAGCTATGTGATAGGGTGGACCAAGCCCAGGCTTGAGGGCCCTAGGCTGGGTTCAAAGTCCACCTCCTCCTGGGCACAGTAGTGCACGCCTGTAATCCCCGCACTCTGGAGGCTGCAGCAGGAGAATCATCGTGAGTTCCAGACTAGCCTGGGGTAAACAGTGGGTTCAAGGCCATCCTGAACTGCATAGCAAGACTCTGTTCTAAATAAATATCCCGCCTCCCGCTTACTACACAGCCCCATTATGAAGCTATTAGCCTTCCAAGACCTCTGTTTCCCTGTGTGTAAAATGGGCGTATTCCTGGCAGGGTGGCACAGGCGGGCACCTTGGCCCCAGCATTCTAAACGGCAGCAGCCCCTACTCAGCGTTTCCTGTGTTCTAGGTGCTTTCCTGGGCTTTCCCAGCACCAGCTCACTGAGTCTTCCCAGCTAAGCTATTGCCTCTCGGGGCTTTGGAGGATCTTAGTACAGGGTGTAGGATCTGGAGCCTTCTTGAAAAATGCTTTTCTAGCCCATCCAAAGTTCTTCCTGCCCATCCTTACAGCTTGCGTTTCTGATGATTCTTACCTGTGATTTAGTTTAGCTTTTTTTTTTTTTTTTTTTTTTTTTGTTTTGCCATGCTGGGGTTAGAATCCAGGGCTTTATGTGTACTAGCAAGAGCTCTACCGCTGAGCTACACCACTGCCCTTGGCTTTTCTGGGGCACCTTTACCACCTTCCTCCATGCTGTGCACAGCAGAGGCCTCTGGGATTGAGCCCTTCACCAGCAATACAAAAAGCATCCACCTTTCTCATTTGTTAAATGCTTAAGCGCCTACTAAAAGGAGAATGACACAGAGTGTGTGTCCTTCTGAAAGACAAGAATGCAAATAATATGCAGGGGTGCTCACTGGCCAGGAGGGATAGGAGGGGACAGGCTGAATGTGGAGGGGGACGCAGAACTGCCCATGTGCTGAGTCAGGGCGGCTGCTGTTCTGTCCCCCCCAGAAAGCTGCCCAGCTCTGGTGGGAGGGGCCAGCTCGGGGTGGGAGGGGCCACATCGCCCACTGAGCAGTGAGGGAACAAGGAGGAGAATGGGGATAAGACACCTAGCAAGGCCACACAAACACTCACTGAGGGCCTCACTGCCACTGTGATGTTGGCAGGAGCTGGAGGGGCCTGGGGCTGTCACAGGAGAGAAAGGGCAGAAAAAGGCGGGGAGACCAGGGGTCCTATTCAACAGACACAATGGGTGAAATACACAGTCACAGAGATGAAGGCAGGCATTCGAGCCCCGTTTAACCAACACAGGCAAACAAAAAGATCCACATCGAACTCCCTAAGATAGTTGCCTATGGTATGGGGAAGGGGCGGGGGAATGGGGCAGAAAGTTAAAAGGGAATAAGTGAATTAGTAAAACTGAAGACACAGTTGCACAATAATATGGATTGGGAAATGTGACTAATTTGGACCCCTACATCTGAGGTCCATGAAGTAAGGGTAGGAAAAAAGTCCAGGAGAAAAACTCCGAAAGCACAGGTTCTCATGTGGGCTTTCTAACTAAGGAAAACCCATTGCCTCTCTGGGTTCCAGCGTGGATCTCTAAAAGAATTAAATTATCAAGTCTACTTCCAGCTCTGTGACTTTATTGATTCCACCAATAATCTTGGATTTGCTTGGGAACGTATCTGATAAAGGATTCACAGAGTGTAAGACTTGACTTCTGAAGTGTGAGAGTTGGGCAGAGGCAAAGAAACCAAGAGAAACTTTTTAGCAGAGGAAACTGGAAAAGCAAAAATGTGTGAAAATGTCAGCAGATGGTTATAAAGCCTGACTGATGGCTCCACATATCGGGCAAGTTCCAGCAGCCCACCTTTGGGGACCCTGTGCCTGGCTGGTGGGACCAACTGCAAGACAACAGCCAGCCAGATGCCTTTCAGTGCTCCCCAGTCTGCCTTTACAGCTCCCAGTGTGAGTCCCCGAAGGGACTCACAGACCCCTGATCCCCATGATCATGTGAGGCTGCTCTGGACCATTCCTCCTCCACTCCCCACCAGTGTCCTCTCTGCCTCCCAAGACTGACCACATTCTCTCCCCCAGGTGACTTTCCACCCCAAGGGGCTCGATGGCCTCAGCAGAGGGGCTGGGTCTTGCTTTGCTGTTTACACCTGTTGAGTGTAAACTCCACCATCAGCATCGCAGCTGTGGCCCTGCAGGGGTTCTTGCCCGGGAAGCCTTGTCTGAATTCCTGAGTCTCAGGGAGGGGAAACACGGGGAATGCCTGCACTCCAGGACACGATCTTTCTCACATCACCTAGGGCTCCTCGAGCCAGCACCTCATCGGCCGTGTCCAGCACCTCCACTCCCTGCCAACTTACGAATTCAGCCCTCCAAGTGTTGTAGCTCCCTGAATGTGCACGTAGGACATGCACCATAGTCCTGTAGCTTTGCACAGACTGTTCCCGCTACCTGAGGGATCCATTCTCCCACCGCCACTGCTAGGCCCACCTGGGCTGTTTTGAAAATCCCACTGACCTTCAAACCTAGTTTATGGCCAGCCTGATGGTGCACATGCTGTAATCCCAGCACACGGGAGGCTGAGGCAGGAGGATTACCTTGAGTTCGAGGGCAGCTTGGACCACACAGTGAGTTCAAGGCCAGCCTGCACTACATAGCGAGATTCTGTCTCAGGAAAAAACCGACCACCCAGCATAGGTGCCACCACCTCTGAGCAGCACTGTCCACTTCCTCCTTACCCAGGCAGAATAAACCCCCGCTGTTTGTGCCACCCTTGCACTTGAGAGTGCCTTGACCTCTCCTCTCATCATACTGAAACTAAGTACCGGTCCATGTCCCCAGGTAGTCTGTAAAGTCCTTCCAGGCACACTGTGACACTGGTGAGCTGTGTTGTGAGCCCTGAACCACCTGTATGTGGCAGGACATACTGAACCACAGAGACAGCTTTTGTAATTGAGTTTAATTTCTGTTTGGTGAGAAATAGGTCTTCCTTTTTACTCTCCACAGAAAACACAAGACTGCTTTCCTGTCCTCAATTTTGGAAGCCCTGCTTACCACGCAGCCGTACTGTGCCTCTCGAGTCTTCGATGGATGAAGAAAGTGAACTGATCCAGGCTCAAGACCAGAGCTTCTGGGCCGCTCTGCCTGATGTGTGCCTGCGCCGTATTTTCTGGTGGCTGGGAGACAGAGACAGATCCAAGGCAGCCCTGGTATGCAGGAAGTGGAACCAGATGATGTATTCAGCTGATCTCTGGCGATACAGGACCATCACCTTCAGCGGGAGACCTTCCAGGGTGCATGCATCAGAATTTGAGTCGGCTCTTTGGTATGTTAAGAAATTCGGTCGTTATTTGGAATGTTTGGAGATCAAGTTTCTGAACCCTTACAATGCTGTCTTGACCAAGAAGTTCCAGGTCACCATGCGAGGTCTTCTCTCATGCCTGGGCAGAAGTAACAACCGTCTGAAGTCGCTTTCCATACAGCACCTGGAGCTGGATCGCCTGGTCTGGAGGAACAGCATCAGGAACTCGCTCATTAAAAGCTTGAGCTTCTTCTTAAAGAAAATGGGCAGGTATCTGGACTCCCTCAGCCTGAAGGGGGCCAGGCTGACTGTGGAACAGGGCTGCCAGGTGCTGAACTCCCTTAGCTACCTACGGAATGAGAGCCCCGCCTCAGATCTTAACATCGAAGATTACTTCAGCCACCACCTGACTGTCTACAGCAGCCTGCAGTTCAGGAGGACCATGGCCACATTCCACAGCCTGGCCTCCTTGACACTCAACTACAACTGCATTTCTGATGAGCTGCTCGAGAACTTGGCTGAGAACAATGCCAGCACCCTCCGGACCATGAACATCAAATGTCACTTTCATGACCCCCACGGCCAGGTCATCTGGGGTATGTCCTGGGCCAAGCTGGCCAAGCAGGCCAGCAGCCTGAAGGTGAACTTCTTCTTCGAGCGGGTCATGAAATACGAGCGCTTGGTCCGCATCCTCCTGCAGGAGATCCCCATGAGGAGCATAAGTCTGAGGAGCTGCTATTTCAGTGACCCAGACTGGTCCATGAGACCCACTCTGACGGACCTCCTCCCCACCTTCCGGCACACCCTGCAGGTAAGCAGGAAGTGAGGCCCAGGCAGGCTTACAGGCAGCAACTGCCATCCAGTTGCTATTTCCCCAGAGGGAAGCTTGCCAATCACACGCTGAGTGTGTATGAACTGCTACCAGACGAAGCCTCCCCCATGTCCTCAGGACCACAGCAGATGACAAAAATAGCCACTCGCCTCCAACATGAGACATAAGGAGAGTTCTGGCTGGTGGTCAGCAATAAAAAGCTTAGGGTGGAGCAGGTGACCCTTTCTCCACAAGGTCACAGCAGCACACAGGGAGATCATGTGGCTCCCATAGTCAGCTCTAAGCAGGGGACCCATCTGGTTCCAGCAGTGCCCCATAGTTAGGAAGATAGAATGGGAAGAGCCAAATCAGACAGAAAATCAAGACTGACTTAGGCACCTGAAGAGCTTGGCAGTCCTGGAATGTACAGTGATGTGGCAGCTTTGCCACCTATAAAATCAGGGTTATTTTGTGGCTCCTCAGGAGTTTATGGTCATTATCACAACTGACATTGATATGAATAAATACCACTGCTAATATGAGTGGACTACAAGATGCTAACAGCTTACTTGTATTCCTATAACCCTGAGACAGGCAGAATGGATGCTCTTGGAGCTTCATAAAAACTTGAAGTTTGGTGGCCATCTCTCAGTCATCCAGCACTCACTGCAGGGCTGAGCCCAGCACCATAGTATCTGGATTCCAAATATTGTGCTTCCAAATTCCAGGTTTTGCAAACTTGCATGACCACAGTTGATTCTCTTCCTTGAGGGCCAAATATCTAATGTTTCTCATCTAAAAAACTCCAGAACTACCACAGCAGTATGCCCAAAGCTCAGTCTTAAACATGTTACAGGATGACCCAGACCCACACGATTTCCCTTTTGGTGCTTTTCCAGAAATTAACTTTTGAGTTCAACAACAACCATGAGTCACTGGATGAAGAGCTGCACCTGCTCATCCTCTCCTGCAGGAAGCTGTTTTACTTCAAAATCTGGGCTTTCCTTGATGTTAAGTTTGTGGAGCGCATCCTGAAGAGCCAGGAGGAGGGACAGTGTGCCCTGCGCACACTCAAGGTAAGAGGCCCTGGATGGTTTTGTAGGACAGAGCAGGGCATCCGGCCAGGCACACTGGCAGGCGCTGTGCCACTGAGCTACATCCCCGGCTGTGGCAGGTACATCAGGATGCCTGGGACACAGCGGAGGGGGGAGGTAGGGGGCAGGGAGAGCCATCATGCCCGAGTCAGGTCCACTGGGCAGGAATGGTTTCACAGAAGAGAATTTGCAGCTCCCGTGGTGCAGCCAGCCTGCCACAGCTGTGGGCTCTGCACCTGTGGACTCAACCAACTATGAACTAAAAATTTCTAGGGATAAAAACAGCATCTGTCATTATTCCCTAAACAAGAGTATAACAGCTATTTACACGGCATTCACATTGAACTAGGTATTATGTTAGGTATCAGAGATCACGCGTACAGAGGAACGTGCACAGGTTATCTGCAGACACGACATCATGCCATGTTCCACCAGGGACTTGAGTCTCCCTGGACTTTGGTATCCATGGAAAGTCCTGGAACCAGGGTCCCTCAGACACCAAAGGGCAACCATAGTCGAGTCTGGACTTTCCCTGATTCTGCCAGCAGCCGGATGTGCAGATCATTGAGATCACTGCTCGTCTGAGTGATGAAGTCACTGTGTGTGTACGTGGGGTTGTTTCTTTATTGGCACAGGTGAGGATTTATACAAACAGATATGAGACTAACGAAGAAGACAGGACCTTGCGGGAAATTCACAGGAAGTACAAAGACCTGATCGACTCAGGGATTAACTATTTTGTCATCGCCTACCCCATGATGTAACGAGCCTCTCTGGAAGAAGGAAGCCAGGAGCACTTCAAACTTGAAAACCCACTTCTTGGAGGACCATAGTTAGGGTACTTCCACCCCACCCTTCCTTTCTTTCTCCTTTTGCCCTTTCTACACCAACATGAACAGCGGGGCAGAGGCTGGGACAACTGCTTATGTGAAGGCTCCAGATGACTTTAAAGTGCTATCTTTACCAACTATCCAGGGGTGATTTCGCCTTTTGTTGTTTGGTTTTGATTTTTTTATGCCCTTGTTTAGACAATGAACAAAATGCCCAAACTGCTCAAAATCTTTTTCTACTGGGGGAGCCTGACTCTTGGTCAGCTATGCCCCCGAAAAGGTGTATGACCAGTCAGTGAGTAAACAATCTACTGACCAATATCACCAGTTCAGAAATCCTACGTGCAGTGTGGTCTTCATGTGAAAACCTCCTGACAACGACATTGGCTAGGCCTGATCTCACACAGGTGGGAATCCACAGCCTGCCCTTGGCTGAAGCAGGAAATTCTCCACTTTCAAAAGGAGCCTGCTCAGAGCTGGAGCTCCCTCGCCCAGAAGGAACTCCGATCCTGATTCATCCATCCTGAGACTTGGAGCTCCTCCTCTGGCTTTGCTTTAGATTCCCATCAGGCCGCATGATGCCTAGCCTACTGTGAACACTCAGCTATGGGGCTGACCCGGAAGTGGTCAGTACACTCACAGTTGTGACGAATTGGTCACACCATGGGGAAGTGGTTCTAAGGCAACGCTCAGTAAAAAGGCCACGCAACACGCTGTTTAGTAAGACACTGATCCTGTAAGATATATCTAAGGATTTTTCTAAAGTAAAGCAGAGAGATACCATAAATGTTAAAAAGTATACAGTGGAGGGGTAAAATTATTTGTTTTTATTGAATTTTTTTGTTTTTCCATATTTGTCATCTTAACAATCAGATATTGTTTTTATAATTAGGAAAAGTCCCGTATGTTCTAAGTAATGAGTGATCATAAATCCCTGGTGTCATACACATATGTTGAAGATTTTTGTTCATATAATCCCATATTGTTCTCTCTTTCGATAGATATAAAATAATAAAATATCAGGCTACTTCAATGTGACTCACTGAGATTTCATGTCTTTGTACTGCGTGTGTCCATATTCATGCATTTTACACACTTGTTAAAATTCATATTTAACTAGATCTTTTCAGTTTTCACTGCGCCTTTGCAGCACTGTCTCACCTGACTCCCACAGTGCTGTCTGGAAGACATGGTTGCCATTTCACTACCATCTAGTCAGGATTTGACCCATTAAGGAAGGGGGGGTCCCACCTGTAGGAAGCTCCCACATCTCATGTGAAAAGAGATCATAAAGTATTATAATAACTGGGACTGGAAAAGCCCAAGAGAGAAAGTCTGTTGCTTGTGGACCAAAGGAGGTGCCTTGCCTTGGGTCTGAGGGGAGCCTTATCAGATTGGTTGGTACAGTGATTTCTTTGTGCAGACCAGTTAGTTCCTTCTACCCCAAACACAGAATCTATGGATACGTAATTCTAGTATGGAAAGCATCTTAATATAAGTTTCTATGAAAATGCTTTCTATAAAACAGTGGATTCACCTTATAGTTTTGCAAAGGTCACGTCTGGCTTACAAGTAGACAGCTAAGTTTCCATCCCCACCTCTGCACTCAATCTGCGGTGACATCACATACCAAGTAGCCTCTGGAAAACTCTGGAGAGAAAGGGAATGAAAAAAGACATGTGACGTTTGGGTGTGATTGTTTAAATAGTTCTGACCTCATGAATCCTTTGAAAGAAGGGTCTCAGGGGCTCTCAGAGATGCCCTGATTACACAGAGAACTACAGCAAAGATGTTTTTGGTTTCCCTCAGGGAGCAGCAGCGTCCTAGCAGGAAACTGCAGAGTTTTCAAAAGCATCTATCTTTAAGCCAGTATCATCTTCATCATTATTATTATTATTATTATTATTATTATTACCACATTCAAAGGCCCAGTAATGGATAGTGGCAGCCAACAGACTTGTGGCCTCTCTTTTCCTTCCTGGGTGACAGGTTCTTACTTAAGCCTGTCCTCCTTCTCCAGGACACAGCAGGGGGCAGGGCCCCAAAACCCATCACTAGACTAAAGATCTGCAAAGGCCACTCTTCTTTGAAGAAATACAAATGTGGACTGTCCCTGTCCTGTGTGTAGGAGCAGAGATGCACTGTCACTGCTTGGGCTTCCTCTCAGGTTCTGGCTGTATGGTGCATGGCCGATAACGTTCTGGTGACAAGTGACATAGGCAAACCCTTCTGTATGTCCAAGTTGCAACGGACTGAAGCCACCTTCAAACTGAGCTCCTGAAATATAATTCCCAATGTGATGGTGTTTGGAGAGGGGGTCTTTGAGAAGTAATCAGATCATGAGAGCAGTGCAGTCACGAATGGGATTAGTACCTTTCTGAAAGAGGCCCCAAGGAGCTTGTGCTCATTTCCCCTACCCGGTGAGAGATAAGAAGTTAGCAGCCTGGATGAGAGCCTTTACCAGAGCTCACCGGTGCTGCTAACCTGATTTCAGAATATCGGCTTCCAGAGCTGGGAGGGAAAGTTTTCTGTTGTTCACAAGCCGTTAACTCAATGGTATCTTATTAAATGTCAGTGCAAACTGACTGAAACACAAGGCTATGAGGGAAGTCGGGCTACAACCAAACTTAAATGTGAATCGTTCCATTATTGACAGGCAAACTGGTAACACAGGGGCAGCCTGAAGACGGGCTCAGTGATGGGCCTGTGACTTGCTGGGCTGGACAGGATCTGAGGCCTGGGTTCCTTGTACCATTTAGATCAGTATTTTATATGACCTTAAATAAGTTTCTTACTCTGTTTATGATGTAGTTCCTGCTATTTGTAAAATGGGAAGAGCTGAGAAATTAAATATTTCTAAAATCCTTGCGACCTCGATGGGTGATGTTGAGTAAAGATATGATTGGCCATTTAGCCCAAAGACCTGGCCTCAGGAGCCCAGTCTGAGCCACAGCCCAATGTGATGTGGCTGTGTACTACTTGCTGTGTACCCTGCAGCAGGTCTTTAACCCCTATGAGTGTCAGCTGCTGTGTGCAAATGAAAGAACAAATTAACACATGGACCCCCTGAGTCTGGCCCATGAGTGTACAATCAGTGCTGGCTTTTACCTTGTTCAATAAAAAAGAACACCACCAGTCTCCTGGTGGCAGAACAAAACTGATTCAGAACCCAGAACTCTTTCTTCCACATCAACTATCAAATGGGAAGAATTCAGTCCCTCTCCCTTCCCCACCCAGCCCCACACAGAAAATGATCATTCACTCTATTTCCGCGCTAGGTATTAACTCACGTACTCTCGTGTAATCCACAACAGCTCCAGGAAGTATAGACTACCATTATCCCTCTTTTAGAGGTAAAACTGACACTTTGCACCATGAAACCTGTCCATAAGTGCTAGAAATGAGTGTCAAACCCAAACTAATCCCACAGCAAGACGTGGAACAATCATACTGTAATTCCACTCTAGAGACGAACATTTAGAAAAGGGGACCTATGAACACTTCTGTTTTGCCATACTCAGACTGGAAACACTGCTGTGCACAGATGAGAGAAAAACTCCAAGATGCCCTAACTTTAATTAACAAGGGCCAGAGGACAGAATAGGGGAGAGATAAGGTATTCAGTGAACCACTGTAGGCCAAACCAACAGAGGCCATTCCATGCTCTAAATACATGCTAACACCCTGACTGAGCCCCAGTACCATTTCTTCCTACCTCCACTTCCAGTCACCCCACAAACAAGGAGTTTTTCTCCTTGCAACTTGTCCTGCTGCCCCAAACTTTCCCCACTTCATGTTACCTGTTCCCTCTGATCTACAGCCAATGTGAGTCCAAATGCCTTATGCTTTGTTGCCTACATTTTTATTATAAATAATTGTAGCCCTAGACCCAGGGGACTTTTTTTCCCCTGACACGGGAAGTTCCAGGAACCTATCCTAGGACCTGGTCCTTTTTCTGGCTGGCATCTATAATAGCTCAACTTCCTGACTTTAGCAATGCTTCTTGAGAACAAGTGTATATGAATCTATTATGTGTTACTATTACAATTTTACTTTTTAAACATTTTGAGACAGGGGCTCACTATATTATTTAGACTGGTCTTGAACTCACTCTGTAGCCCAGGTTGGCCTCAAACTCAGTCTCCTGAGAGCTGGGATTACAGCCAGGCCCCACCATACCAGGCCTTTTAAATCAACATATAAATGTACGTGCCTATAGGGTCAACATGATAAGCTAGTATGTGTACACAATGTGAGGTAATTAAATCAATATAATTAACATTTTCATCTTATTGTGTGTGTGTGTGCTTGGAAACTTAGAATTCCTTTCTAGTTCTTAAAAAAATATAAAATAGGTTGTTATAAGCCTGCTATGCAACATAACACTAGAACTTATTTCTCCTATCTGGGTGTATTTTGGGATCCACAATCCAACCTCCTTTATCTCCTCCTGCCCACTGGTAATCACTATTCCACTCTCTTCTTTGAGGTCAACTTTTTTAGCTTCTACATATGGATGAATACACAGTATTTGTATTTTCTGCATCTGGCTTATTTAACATGATGTCTTCCATTTTGATGAAAACTAAGATTTTTTAGATACTGGATTCATCATTCTGATAAAAATGTCACCAACTGCAACTTAAAAAAAGCAATCCTTCATAAACACAGAACACTCTCCTTCTTTAGTGGATTATATATCACTTTTATACAGATTATGCAAACTGCTTATATTAGTCAACTTTTCATTGCTGTGACAAAATACTGGTCACAAATTAATTTAAAAGAGAGAAGATTGGTTTCGGTTCACAGTTTCAGAGGTTTCAGTCCATTGTCGAATGGCTTCAAGGCAGGAACATCATAGCAGAAGGGCACTGCAAAGAAATTCTGCCCAACTCCTTCAGCTAGTAAGCAGAGAAAACTGGGAAGAGTCAGACCAGAGACACCCCGGGAGGCATGCCGCCATTCACCTGCCTCCTCCAATGAGGTCCCACCTCTTAGCTCCATTACCTTCTGATACCACCGCCAAACCATGATCTCATTGGTGGATTAATCTATTGACGAAGTTAGGGCCTTCACTATCCAATCATTTCCCCAAAGTCCATCAGCAACCAAACCTTCAACACAATAAGACCTTTGAGGGCAGAAGGTATATTTTGGTTCCAAACACAACATAGCTGTTCCAGAGCAAGGACCCCCAGAAATTCTGATTTACAATTTGAAACTAAAAAATCCCATTAGTTTATTGGCTGAATATTACACAAGAAGAGAAATCACAATGTGACTTCGCTGGATAGTGCTTAGAAATATTAATCTGATTAATATTTCTCTGCATTTGTAAGAGCATGAATTTTGAAAACATGACACACCCATATCATAAATGCTGGAATGGAATGTAAGTTCCTTGAAAGTATGTTTTTTTCCCTTTGTTCACTGTGAATCCCCACTGCCTAGAACTATGTTTGAACCAAACAAAGATTCATTATTTGTTGAATTTATTAAAATAAAATCTTGTTCAGAGATTATTCCACCTTTGTTTATGGTAAACAAGTGTTTCAAAGAAATATGTGTTTTGCTTTGGCCCATCTGACTAAGTATTAAGACAAATATGCCTTTTTAAAGCAGCTATTAAGAACACAACATTGATGACAATCATACAATCGTGCAATGAATTTAACAGTCTATTGCATACATTTAGACCATGGGCTGGTGATATATTTTCAGCAGAAAGAAAACTTGCAAATCAGCTCACCAGCCTCTCTCACTAGGACCTCAATGTTTGCTTCAAAGATGAAAAAATATGGCCCAAGCTCAGGGACTCCCCTATTGTACCAAAGGAGTTATTAGAACAGCTCAGCCCAAACCAAGAATGACCTAAGGCCCACATTCGTTGGCAGCCAAAGCCACCCTGGAGAACTCTTCCCTCAGGTTGTCCTCATCAGAGCCTCAGTAGGTTCCAGTCAAACCTGTTATCTACTCATGTAATTGATAGCTTGCCTGTGGCTGAAGACTAAAACTACTTTAGGGAAATAC